GGAGGGGTAGGACTCAGGGGTGGGGGGTTTAACGGTTAAGGTTAGGCATAAATAGCAGCCAGGAAGTCCAAGCGGGGTGGGTCTGAGAGGTCGTCAGCAATGGTGCCGTTGGAAAGAGAGACTAGAAAGACAGGCAGGTGTACAGAGCAGTGCAAGGTTTTGAGTTGCATAGGTATTTTGCGATTACTTTATAGTTTGAGCTGATTGGCCCAACCGCTCTAATCGGCTCAATAGGTTATCGGCGTTCGTGCCATGAATTGGCATGAAAAAGGGGCAAGGATGTGGGACGGGGGAAACACAGCCAAATGGGTAGAGGGGCCAGATGAGCAGGTGGAGAGGCGGGGGATGGGGAGAGGGCCAAAGTGGCAGGCGCAGAGACAACCGGATCTGTGGAAAAAAAGGCAACAAAGAACAGCAATTCAACAAGCATATTCCTTGCTATTGAATAAAAATCGACTTACAAGTTGGTCGTGCGATTGCTTATCCAAGGTGAAGTTACAATGACAAGTTGGTCCGGTCAGGCATGGTGCACATTCTGCCGTCCGTTTTACTGTTTTGGCAAGAAGCCTTTTAGATGCAAGGGACAAGCAACTCCTTAGTGAATGAATGAATGAATAATTTCAACTATGGGATCAGCTTGTCATGCGTGAGTGAATGAGACTTTCTCTATTTTAGCGCACTCACAAAAACTACCAAGACTTTCAACGTTCAGTACACGGATTATTTACAGAGTACACACTCCACATGGGCTGTAAAGAGCGTATTTCAAAATGGCTAATAAAAAAGAACAATACTTGACCCGAACACTTGACCCAATGCACTCTGATCACCATGCACACTATGCTCCTGTCAGGCTAAAACCTTTTCAATGTCAGAACATGCATGTCCCGGAGTCCATTGCGCAGTGCACGGGACATGCCATCAATCGCTTGCTTGCACCCTTCAACATCCAGTTGCTGCAGCAGCTTTAGCTTGGTCAAATCATCTGGCAAGGCCTTCAATAGCTCACAGCCAGAGAGGCTGAGTGTCCTCAGCCTGGTCAGCTGAGCAAACCTGGGAGGAAGGGAGCTGATAGAAGTACAGTCAACTCGAAGCAGGTGCAGGCAGCGAAGCTTCGTGAGTGAATATGGTAGCTTCTGCAGGGCCCAACACTCTGTTAGATCCAGCTCACGCAACCTGGATAGAGCACTGATACCATCGGGGATCGAAGCCAGCTTGCGTGCAAGGACCTTCAGGGATGTCAGGTGTTGAAGCTGTGAGACTGTTTCTGGCAGCTCCCGAATCTCAAAGTTACATATTCGCAAATCCCTCAGCTGCAACAATGCGGAACCCATGCTTCCTGGAAGGGTCCAAATCCTTTCACCATGCCAGATTCTCAAGACGTGGAGCTGAGAAAGCGGAGACAAGGGAATAGGAAACTCTTCAACGTTGTCTGCCAACCCCAACTCCAAGTGCCTTAAACGAGACACGTGGTAAATGCAAGGCTGGATACATGTCTGGCCATTGTTGTTCCAAAACAGGACCTCGAGGGAGAGTGGCAGTGACCTAGGAAACTCAGACAGTCGTCCACACTGTGTTACCTTCAACGTCTTTAGCCCCCAAGGATGCTTAACCTTCGCGGCAACAAAGAAAGCTGTTCACACCGCGCAATGACCAAGGATGTGAGCCTTGTGAGCCGTGTAACAGACTCTGGGATCTCGTTGAGAGAAGAGCAGTTGCAAATGGAGAGATGCTGCAAGTTAGTCAGACTAAACAGACACTCAGAAACCTCAACAATTGAGGAACCGCCAAGCTCAAAATTTGTTAAAGAAACCAGCTGCGAGAATGATGGGGGAAGCTGCTCCTGCATGCAATCTCGTAAGTGAAGAGTCTCGAGGTTACTGAGCCATCCAATCCTCTCTGGAAGAACCATCTTCCCAAAGTGCTTGAGGCTCAGTGTCTTGAGAGATGTAAGACTGCAAATCTCTGCTGGCAGCTGCATCTGACCACAGTCATCAAGAGTCAGCGTCTCCAAAGAAGTAGCTTGGCAAAAGGATTCAGGTAAGTTTAAACCAGGCAGGCTGTGCAGCATCAGTGACTTGAGGGAAGGAAGCTCTCCGAAGTTGTTGGACAGGCTGCGAAACTTGCTGCAGCTGAAAATAGACAAGGACTCCAATGCACTCAGGGAAGTGATGCTATCGGGGAGTTGCTCAAGCTTATAACAGTCCCGAATGGTAAGCTCACGGAGGCTTGGCAGCAGCTCTCCAAAGTCATCAGGGAGCCGCTGGAGGTTGGTGGATTTGATGATCACGAGCTGTTCTAGACGGATGTACGGAGATCGTGTGGAGAACATTGAAGTGAATTTCGAACTAGAGACTTGGAAATCGAGTGTCTTCAGATGAGGCAGCTGCGCAGCAGTGAAAGTTGCAGATGGCGGATCATTCTTGGATTGGGAAATCTCACTGGAGATCGAAAGTACAGAAAGTCTTGAGATGCGAGCGAGACTTGACAGTTGCTGACGTGTCGATTTTGAAACAGCAATATGAAAAGAGGTGAGAGAGGATAGCGTTGCAAATCTGGGAAGTGTCGAGGCTGAAACGTCGGTTAGAAGAACAGTGTGGAGATGTTGCAGCTGAAAGAAAGAATCCGGCAACTCCGTATCTTTGTGGAGGCAGTGAAGCGAAACCTCCTCCAGCCGGGTGCATTTCTGAAAGAAATTCTCCAAACCTGCTTCAGTAACCGGGTGCTCATTCTTGCTTCCTCCACACTCCGTTGGTGTGATCATGCGTCCCACATGAATCGATTTCAGCTTGGGACGTGAGGAGGCGAGGCGGGCGATGAACGCGTTGTCAATTATCTCGACACTTTCGTCGCTCAGGTAAAGACTCGTGAGGTTGTCTAAAAGAGACACGGCTTTCGCCAAATCTTGACGAGATACGACACGGTTCTCACGGACTGACAGGCCGGTGACTTGGCGCATAACGAGATCACGCCAGCGACGACATACGGATGCGATGAGCAGATTATAAGCTGCATCTGCCAAGGCTGGAGGAGAAAATTTATCTGCCTTGAAATGCCAAGGAGGAAGCAAATAGCATGGAGTAGTACCACCTTAAGGCATTTTATTCTGGAACCATATAATCCTCGTAAGAAGGTCATCTTCGAGACGATTGATGTGTGCGAGATCCATCTAAACTTTCACGGATTGACCCCACGGACGGCTAAGAAAGGTATGAAACGTTATTACTTCGCCAGAGCTAAAGTGACAAGGGATGAAGAGAGCTTTCTCATACACGGATCTCACAATCTCAGATCCTCATTCAATTTCTATTAAAAAAAAAAAAAAAAAAATTCGGAAAACACGCAGAACCATTAGCTTGCTGACCTGCGGTCTGGAGGTAAGCAAGTACGCGCCGTGCTTGTACGAAGAGCTGCGGATCTTAGAAGAGCTCCTTAGGACTTGTCGAAGCTGGGCATGGTGGCTGATGTGTTTTCCTATTCCCGAGATCGTTCATCGCTAGACTAGACCTGACGAAGCAGCAAACGAGTGCTCTCCTGGCTCCATGAAATCCCCTTCGTTGAGCCCAAGCTGGGCTTGGGTGACTGGATTCCACTCTGGACGCGGATTGACTTGACGAGGCTTGGCTAGGGGAATCTCGCTCTGAGATGAATCCGGGGGCCCCGCACATGTAGCCTTGAAACGACAAGATTTGGTTAAACGTACCCTTTTCATGTTTACGACAATTCCAAGTTTTAGCCCTTCAAGCGAGGGTGATTACGACAATGCCTTTGTTCTCTCAAGACTCGATTTAAGCACAGCACCTTGCTCCCTCAGCGCGTCAAGGCGAAATCCTTGTAACCTGAAATCCAACCCAACCGTTTTGGATCCTTGATGAACTGACCGCGACCACGCAAAACATCTCAACAAACCACAATGAAGGAACCACATAACTTACTGCCCCGTTAGAAGCAGACTACGCCGTTCAATAGCCGTTTAGGCGGCGATGCTCTAACAACAAGGCCGAGTCGACAGCTCGTTTCATGCAGGCTTTTGCAGTACTCGTCGGTCTAGGTCGCATTTACCTACTCGTCCTTAATTCACGACTACCAGTCGTCAGGTCGTAGGCACTTACCAGTCCTCTGTAACTGACCAGCTGCGTGTTCAGCCTTGTCATCCAGCTCTCGGCGTGTGTTCCCCTCACATTCGAGTACCGTCACGGCATCGTGCATACACAATCCAACATTCCTGATATCGTCGTGCCTAGTTAGAATTCCTCGACGCATCTGTTGAGAATTCTGAGAACTATAAAATCTGGCATTTCGGGTATGGTTGTGCCTGATTAGGATCCCTCGGCGTACCCGCGATCGATTAAAGGACGATGGACGTATGATGAGGCGAGGTACCCTTTCTCAGAGTAATTTCTAAGGTTAGAGCTTCATTATTAATTTAGGATAGAGCGTGTGAGCAGGATTAAACGCTTTAGCACCACTTAGGCTAGGGAAGCAGGAAATAACCGTATCAGACAGCAGCATTAGCCGGAATCCCTTCAAGCCGGCCTCTTGATTCGAACCAGCTGATCGGTTTGCGGGAAGCAGTCCGGTGCAGTCCGGTGCAGCATGGCCAACGCGCTGGAGGATCTCGAGAAAACCCTCGAGGCAAGTACCTCGGTGCGCTTTTGGCATCAAGTCAAAATCAAGCCCCTGATTTTTTTTCCCTCCCTCAAGTGCTCCTTCTCCGTCCTGCCCCCCTCCAGACCAGTTCTCAAGTGCACATTTCAGGCCTCCACCCCTCCATCGACAGCCACCCCCCTGCTCCCCCCGCCGCTGCTCCCCCCATCCCACCCTCCGCGCGCCCCTCCTCTTCTTCCTCCGCCTCCTCCCCCGCCCCCTCTCTCTCCAGCTCGCCCGCCATCCGCCCCTCCGCCATCTCTTCTTCCTCCGCCTCCTCCTCCCTGCTTAACTCAACGTCGTTCTCTCTCGACCGCTCGTCTCTGACGTCTCTCATTGGTGCACATGGCAAGGAGCCGTTCCTCATTGGTGGGTTGACTTTGTCCTTATACCCCCTTCCCTCTCCCACTCCTCCTTCCTCCTTAACTCAACTTCGTTTCTCTCGACTGCTCGTCGCTGACGTCTCTGATTGGTGCACATGGCAAGGAGCCATTCCTCATTGGTGAGTTGACTCTATGCCTCTGCCTCTGCCTCTGCCTCTGCCTCTGCCTCTGCCTCTGCCTCTGCCTCTGCCTCTGCCTCTGCCTCTGCCTCTGCCTCTGCCTCTGCCTCTGCCTCTGCCTCCCACTCCTCCTTACTCAACTCAACGTCCTTCTCTCTCGACCGTTCCTCACTGACCTCTCTCATTGGGGCTCATGGCAAGGAGCCGTTCCTCATTGGTGGGTTCACTTGATTCTCTCCTTGTCCCTTGAGGCTGAGAACCCTCTTTCCCACTCACCTTTCCGTCCTCCTACTCTCTCTCCTCCTCCCGACTTATCTCAACGCCTTTCTCTATCAAACGCTCCTCCTTAACATCTCTCATCGGTGTCGTGTGCCATTGTAATGAGGTGACTTTTGAGTCGACTCAAAAGTCACCTCGTTATAATGGCACTCTTCCTCCCTACTTAACTCAACGCCTTTCTCTATCGATCGCTCCTCCTTAACGTCTCTGATTGGTGCGCATGGAAAGGAGCCGTTCCTCACTGGTGAGTTGACTGTTGACTTGAGTCTTTCCTTGTTCCCTTAAAGCCCACTTTCCGCACCCCACCTCCACACCTCCTCCCTCCATTGCTCTGTGTCCTTTTCTCTCGACCGCTCCTCGTTGGTGAGTTCACTATTCCATGACCTCTCCCTTTTTCCTCGCCCCACGTCCTTTTCTCTCGACCGCTCCTTTTTGGTGAGTTCACTATTCCATGACCTCTCCCTTTTTCCTCGCCCCACGTCCTTTTCTCTCGACCGCTCCCCATTGGTGGGTGGGTGAACCCATTTTGTCCGTACAGCCCCACCCAACCACACCTAACCCATCTGCCCCCCGTCTCCTCCTCCCCACTCTCTTTCCGCCTCCCACTCCTTCTCTTATCTTACTCCAGGCGTGTCAAGAGGAACCCCATCAGGCAAGACAACGGTGTGTGAGCAACTCATTCAACAACTGCTGCTCGATTCCCACCGTCATTCTCCATCCATCATTCTCTGCTCGATTCCCCACATGTATATTATCTACACCCACACATGTCTTACCCTTCACTTATCCTACTCCAGGAGTGTCAGGGGGGACGGCTTCGGGCAAGAGGACAGTGTGTGAGCAGATCATTCAACAACTGCTGCTCTACTTACATCATGCACTTCCCTCTATTCCTCACACATTTCATCACCCTTCACTGGTGTTACTGCAGGCGTGTCTGGGGGAACGGCTTCGGGCAAGACAACAGTGTGTGAGCAGATCATTCAACAATTGCACGATCATAGAGTGGTGCTGGTGCACCAGGTGAGATGCAGTACAGTGCGGTGCAGTGCGGTTCATTGGGAACGAGAGGAGGTGGGCTGTGGTTGTTGAGTCAAGTCAGCATTCATTTCATTCAGCACCAGCACAACCACTGGTGGTGCTGGTGCATCAGATGAGAGGTGGTTCAGTGCTGTGCAAAGTGGTGCAGCATGTGATGTATGGTGTGCGTGGGGTGTGAGATGGAGGATTGCAGTGCAGTGCAGTGCAGTACAGTGCATCCCATTGAATGGGACCCATTCCATGCCACACCATGGCATGCATGTGATCGAAGCCATGCCGTGCATTTGACAAAATTATTCGAACCCTGAACCCAAAACCTCGTGCGCACTGACAGAACTCTTTTTATTGGGGGTTGAACGAGGTGGAGTTGAACCTAAGCATGCCAGTGAAGAGGTTTGAGATGCCTCAGACCCATGCATGGCAACATGCGTGTTCCCCAAGCTCTCGGCTTGCGTGCTGCCAGGACTCCTTTCACCGAGGGTTGACAGGGGAGGAGTTGAACCTAAGCTTGCCAGTGAGGAGGTTTGAGATGCCTCAGAAGCTGTACTGTACATGTGCTTCCTGGCAGCACGTGTACTCGACATTGAAACTCTGTGCTTGCTTGCGTGCTACCTTGCTTGCTTGCTTGCTTGCTGACAGGACTTCTCTCTTGCAAGGAGAAGTGTTCTTGGGAGTTGACAGGGGAGGAGCTGAACCTAAGAATGCATGCCAGTGAGGAGGTTTGAGGCGCCTCAGATAATGTACTGCTGTACATGCACAGTACAGCCTCAGAGCCTCTGCGGCGACATGGATGTTCTTCAAAACTCTCTGCTTGTGTGCTTGCTTGCTGACAGACAAGATTCCTTCTAACGAGAGTTGACAAAGAAGGAGGTTTTCTTGCTTTCTTCCGTGCTTGTGTGAGGGCAGGACTCCTTCTACCGCGGGTTGACAGAGGAGGAGCTGCAGCACGCCAGTGACGAATTTTGAGGCGCCTCCAAAGTTGTTTGTACTGTACATGTATGCTTATCCCCCAAGCTCTCTGCTTGCTGGCTGACCTGACAGGACTCCTTCTATCGAGGGCTGACAGAGGAGGAGCTGAAACATGCCAGTGACTTCAACTTCGACCATCCTGGTAAGCTGGTAACCACAGCCCACTCAGTCTGGTACGCGTACGTGGTGCTGGTAACCACAGCCCACTCAGTCTGGTACGCGTACGTGGTGCTGGTAACCACAGCCCACTCAGTCTGGTACGCGTACGTGGTGCTGGTAACCACAGCCCACTCAGTCTGGTACGCGTACGTGGTGCTGGTAACCACAGCCCACTCAGTCTGGTACGCGTACGTGGTGCTGGTAACCACAGCCCACTCAGTCTGGTACGCGTACGTGGTGCTGGTAACCACAGCCCACTCAGTCTGGTACGCGTACGTGGTGCTGGTAACCACAGCCCACTCAGTCTGGTACGGGTACGTGGTGCTGGTAACCACAGCCCACTCAGTCTGGTACGCGTACGTGGTGCTGGTAACCACAGCCCACTCAGTCTGGTACGCGTACGTGGTGCTGGTAACCACAGCCCACTCAGTCTGGTACGCGTACGTGGTGCTGGTAACCACAGCCCACTCAGTCTGGTACGCGTACGTGGTGCTGGTAACCACAGCCCACTCAGTCTGGTACGCGTACGTGGTGCTGGTAACCACAGCCCACTCAGTCTGGTACGTGTACGTGGTGCTGGTAACCACAGCCCACTCAGTCTGGTACGCGTACGTGGTGCTGGTAACCACAGCCCACTCAGTCTGGTACGCGTACGTGGTGCTGGTAACCACCCCACCACCCCGTGTCTTGCAAGTTGACAGGGGAGGAGGTGAAGCACGCCAGTGACTTCAACTTCCATTATCCTGGTAAGCTGGTAGCCACAGCTTGATCTGGTAACCACAGCTTGATCTGGTAACCACAGCTTGATCTGGTAACCACAGCTTGATCTGGTAACCACTGCTCGATCTGGTAACCACAGCTCGATCTGGTAACCGCAGCTCGGTCTGGTAACCAAAGCTCGGTCTGGTAACCGCAGCTCGGTCTGGTAACTGCAACTCGGTTTGGTAACCGCAGCTCGGTCTGGTAACCGCAGCTCGGTCTGGTAACCGCAGCTCGGTCTGGTAACCGCAGCTCGGTCTGGTAACCGCAGCTCGGTCTGGTAACCGCAGCTCGGTCTGGTAACCAAAGCTCGGTCTGGTAACCGCAGCTCGGTCTGGTAACCGCAACTCGGTCTGGTAACCGCAGCTCGGTCTGGTAACCGCAGCTCAGTCTGGTAACCACAGCTCGGTCTGGTAACCACAGCTCGGTCTGGTAACCACAGCTCGGTCTGGTAACCACAGCTCGGTCTGGTAACCGCAGCTAGCTCGGTCTGGTAACCACAGCTCGGTCTGGTAACCACAGCTCGGTCTGGTAACCACAGCTCGGTCTGGTAACCGCAGCTAGCTCGGTCTGGTAACTAGATCCAAGTATATGTTCAACATCTACCACCTCTTCTCCCTCTCTCTTCCCAACCCCCATTCTCCACCTCTCTCAGATGCATTTGACACGGACGCCCTGCTCTCAACAATCATTGCTCTCAAGGAGGGGCGGTCGGTGGAGATCCCAGTGTATGATTTCAAGACACACCAACGGAGCACGGCTGTGAGGAAGGTGCGTGGAGGGAAGGAAGGTGTGTGTGGTTTACACGACAGTGGTCTTGCATGCATTCACTCTCTGTTGGTATCCTCACTCAAAGGACAGGTCGGTGGAGATCCCAGTGTATGACTTCAAGACACACCAACGGAGCACGGCTGTGAGGAAGGTGCGTGGAGGGAAGGAAGGTGTGTGTGGTTTACACGACAGTGGTCTTGCATGCATTCACTCTCTGTTGGTATCCTCACTCAAAGGACAGGTCGGTGGAGATCCCAGTGTATGACTTCAAGACACACCAACGGAGCACGGCTGTGCGGAAGGTGGGTTTGAGGAGGGTGGGTTTGTGATATATGACAGAAGTCTTGCACGTACTAGCCCTACGTCATTGTTCTCATGGAGGGCTGGTCAGTGAACATTCCAGTGTATGACTTCAAGACACACCAACGGAGCACGGCCGTGCGGAAGGTGAGTGGATTGAAGGTGTGCATATGATATGAGAGTGTGTGGTGGTGTGCTTGTTCATACACCCTCGTTGCTGTCAAGGAGGGGAGGGTCGGTCGGTGGAGATTCCAGTGTATAATCATAAGACACACCGACAGTCCACTGCCGTGAGGAAGGTGAGCGTGAGGGGAGGGGAGGGATCGTGTGGTAGGAAGGAGAGTGATTGTCATATGACAGTGTTCCTGCATGCACGCATGCATGGACCACTGTTCTCAAAAAGGAGCAATCAATCAGTGGAGATCCAGTGAGGAGGCACACCAGCGGAGCACTGCTGTGAGGAAGGTGAGTGGAAGGGTGGTGGTGGTGTGTGTGGTATGTGGCAGTTCTCTTACATGCGTTCGCCCTCTGTTGGAATCCTCTGACATTGTTTTGACAGAAAACTCTGGTGTTCTAGGATGCGAGGTTGCAAGCACTGATGAACATGAAGACCTTTGTGGATATACACACATGCCCTTACACCCCACTCCCCCTCCTACCTACATGCACACTTGTTCTCATGCCCTCATGCACACCTATGACAAGACTTTTGACCCTCCCTGCTTTCCCCTCAACAGACCAAGCATGCGGACGTCATCATCCTTGAAGGCATTCTGGTGTGTGGACGAGCGAGCGGGGTGCGGGCGAGCGAGCGGTGTCTGTTCCATACTCACCCCACCTTCCTTTTCCCTCGCTTCTTTTTTCACAGACCAATCCTGCTGACGTCATCGTTTCAAAGGCATCTTAGTATTTTACGGTGCGAGGGTGCGGGCGCTGATGAACATGAAGATCCACGTGGATACACCCCCTGAGCCCGCGCCCCCTTTTCCCTTGCCTTCCACACTCTCCCCGTATCAGATGAACCCTGCTGATGTCATTATCCTTGAGGGAATTCTGGTGTTCCACGATGCAAGGGTGCGAGCGCTGATGAACGTGAAGATCCACGTGGATACAGATGCCCTTTCTTGCACAAATATCTATAAGATTGCTGCATATACTGCTGCCTCTCCCTGCTTCCCCCACCAGACCAACCCTACAAATGTGATTGTTTTGTAGGGAATTCTGGTGTTCCATGATGCAAGGGTGCGCGCACTGAAGAACATGAAGATCTTTGTGGATATAGATGCTGACGTGCCCTCTTGCCCTCCTGCCCTCATGCCCACATGCACACAATCAAGGCTGCTTTTGCAGATTCAACTGCTTAACCTCCTCGTCCTCCTCTACATTCCCCCCCTCCCTCCCCGCTACCCAACAACAAACATCAGACCAACCCTGCTGACGTCACCATTCTCGAGGGCATTCTAGTATTTCACGACGCATTGTTGCGGGCGTTGATGAACATGAAGACCTTTGTGGATACAAAACAGATACCCTCTCATACAGACTTAAGTGAGGGCGGGCATTCTAGTATGACATGACCCGTTCCGCTGCATACTGCTGACCCCCACCTCCCTTCTTCCCCCTCCAGACCAACCCTGCTGACGTCATAATTCTCGAGGGCATCCTAGTATTTCATGATGCGAGGGTGCGGGCGCTGATGAACATGGCAGTCTTTGTGGATACACACAGATGCAGCTTCATGAACACATAAGTCTGATGGGTGCATTCTTCTGATGCTCTCCCTTCTCACCTCTTGCCCTGCCCCTTCTCACCCCAACAGACCAACTCTGCTGACGTCATAATTCTCGGGGGCATCCTAGTATTTCTTGATGCGAGGGTGCGGGCGCTGATGAACATGAAGATCTTCGTGGATACAGATGCCCTCATGCCCCGCCCCCATTTCCCTTTACCCTCCACTTTCTCTTCCTATCAGACTAACCCGGCCGACGTAATAATCCTGGAGGGCATTCTGGTGTTCCACGATGCGAGGGTGCGGGCGCTGATGAACATGAAGATCTTTGTGGATACAGATGCCGACGTGCGATTGGCCAGGAGGATTCGCAGGGATACACTGGAGCGAGGGCGAGACGTGCAAGGGGTGATTGACCAGGTGTGCGTGATTACAAGGAGGGGTGTGATTTCAAAGAGTGCTGATTGATCAACTGTTATGAAAGAAAATATGTCATTACAATGAGGAATGATCGACCTAGTGGGAGGCAGTACATCGGGTGTGTGTGACTACAAACCAGCTCACAGTGCATCAGTGGTACCCGATGCACTGCCTCCCTGGTCGTGCAAGGGCTCACAGATGACGACTATATCCCTTCCCTTCCTTTTCCATTCTACCCCTTCCCTTTTTCCCTTCCCTTCTTCCCTTCCAGTACGCTCGCTTTGTCAAGCCGGCCTTTGACGATTTCGTCCTGCCATCAAAGAAATTCGCTGACATTATCATTCCAAGAGGGGGAGACAACCACGTGGCAGTGAACCTGATCTCATCATGCCTTCAATTCCTGCTCCCTCCGTCCCTGTCCCGTCCCTTCCTTCCGTCCCCTTCCCTTCCGTCCCCTTCCCTTCCGTCCAGTACGCTCGGTTTGTCAAGCCAGCCTTTGACGATTTCGTCCTGCCATCCAAGAAATTCGCCGACATCATCATCCCAAGAGGGGGAGACAACCACGTGGCAGTGAACCTGATAGTGCAGCACATAGGCTCCAAGCTGGGCCAGCACGACCTGAGGAAGATCTACAGCAACGTACATGTTATAGAGTCAACGTTCCAGGTGTGTGGTGCGATGTGGTGTGGTGCAGTGCGTTGCAATGACAATCACGTCGCAGTGTACCTGATCATGCAGCACATAGGGTCTAAGCTGGCGCAGCGCAAATTGAGGAAGATCGACAGCGCATATCACACCAGATCGTGTCTGTCTCGCGTGCCCAGTCTCTTTAATGTCTCCTCTTCCCTCTCTTTGCTATCAGGTGCGGGCATACACACGCTCATTCGCAACAGGGAAACCAGGAAGCTGTTTGACTCCTGGAAAGCCTATCCACACCCCGCTTTCCGGTTTTGTTTTGAGGCGCCTCAAAACTAGACTCCTGGAAAGCCTATCCACACCCCGCTTTCCGGTTTTGTTTTGAGGCGCCTCAAAACTAGACTCCTGGAAAGCCTATCCACACCCCGCTTTCCGGTTTTGTTTTGAGGCGCCTCAAAACTAGACTCCTGGAAAGCCTATCCACACCCCGCTTTCCGGTTTTGTTTTGAGGCGCCTCAAAACTAGACTCCTGGAAAGCCTATCCACACCCCGCTTTCCGGTTTTGTTTTGAGGCGCCTCAAAACTAGACTCCTGGAAAGCCTATCCACACCCCGCTTTCCGGTTTTGTTTTGAGGCGCCTCAAAACTAGACAGGGAAACCAGGAAGCTGTTTGCCTCCTAGATAACCTTTCCACACCCCGCTTTCCGTCCTTCCTCCCCCCTTCCCCAAATAACCCCCTCCCCCCCACCCTCCTGTCCCTCCTGCTGTCAGGTGCGAGGCATGCACACGCTGATTCGCAACAGGGAAACCAAGAAGCACAACTTTGTCTTTTACGCCGACCGCCTCATTCGCCTCGTGAGTCACATTTGAGTTATAGATGCGTTTCTTGTCCAATCAAGCTTCTCTGCTCACCCACCTCGCTGCTCTCACCCACCTCGCTGCTCTCACCCATCACTCTCCATTCACCTTTACCCACACGCTCCATTTAAAACGCACACCTCTCTGTCAGTGTATTTTATGCTGGCGGTCTGACCACTGCATTCGCCCTGCACATTCATCTGCGTTGTTTGTCTCACTTTCCTCTTAGTCCATCACTCACTGGACTTTTACTCATCTCCTCTTCGTGCGCACGTATGCTGCTCTGTTGACCAAAGTCAAATCAGGCATTATCGTTCCCTTCTCTTCCCTCCTATTTCCCTCCTCTCTCCCTCCTCTTTTTCCTACCACCACCGCCAGTTGGTTGAGCATGGGTTGGGCCACCTCCCATTCACCGAGATTCAAGTCACCACCCCCACAGGTAACTATTTCTGGTACTATCTCTGTAACTATTTCTGGCACTACAAAATCAGGACTAAGGGTAGGACGTTTCAGTTTTTGGCCCCCACCTACCCCCCTCAAAACCTAATCCAGTCTCCACGTATGTGTGGCATCAGCGTCGGCAGAAGCTGTGTGGAGTGTGCAGGATTCGATCATTCTACAGCACTCCCTATCGTTCCTCCCTTGGCCCACCCCCTCCCTACCTCCCCCCTCCCCGGCCCTCATGCAGGCTCCACATATGTGGGAATCAACTTTAGCAGGAAGCTCTGTGGAGTGTCCATCATTCGAAGGTAGGTATGGGGTGGAATCGAGGGTATGACCTATGAGGTTTCAGATTCGAGCGGCCACGTCCGCACAGGCATTGGCATGGGCGTGGTCATGGGCACAGCGCAGGATGGGAATGGGATTGGCCATGGCTATGGGCATTGGCATGGGTATGGGAATAGACGTGAGGATGGGTGGGCTTGGGCATGGGACTGTAGTCCTCTCTGTATGCTGTATGTATGCATGCAGAATGTTGAATGTTCAAAAGGCATGCTGCAAGGGAGTGAAGACCCCCTGTTGTTGACCCCTGTGCTTCTCTCAGCTCATCCCTGTTGTTGCCGTCCATGCGCACATGCATTGCTCTCTCCCCCCTCTCTTGAATGGCAGTGGCGAGAGCATGGAGAACGCTCTAAGAGCGTGCTGCAAGGGAGTGAAGATTGGAAAGATACTCATTCACAGGGAAGGGGACTATGGCAAGCAGGTATGGATTGGATACAATCTTGTCGTTTATTTGTGTGTGTGCATGCATGGGTGCATGCGTATGTGCATGCATGTGTGCAGGGGGGGGTGCCTTCAGCAAGCAGGTGAGGCGCAGACCACCCCTATATCTCCCTCCCTCTCTCTCCTCTCTCTTTCCCTGCTCTCGTTCATCTGCACATCCATGCATACACTGGTGGTGCTTTCGGAACAACCTGTTGATGTTGGCGTGAATCGTTCCGAACCCGCGGCATTTTAAAGGGGGTGAAGATGGGCCGAACGCCCATCCATGGGGACGGCGACTTTGGCAAGCAGGTGAGGCCTCTTCTCTCTCTCTCTCTCTCTCTCTCGGCGTTTTCTACATGATTACATCCGTGTGCTTGCAAGGAGTTATTCGTATCGCATCATGTGCGTCATCCGATCCATGAATCATGTACCATGAACCCTAGACCTCTTTTCCTTCTCCTTCACTCTTCTCCTCTTCTTCTCATTCCCCCTTGTCCCCCTCTCCTCTTCTCCTCTTTTTCCCCAATTTCACCATCTTCTCTTTCCCCACCCGTCTCATCAGCTCATACACGAAAATCTACCAAGGAACATTACGTCACATAGAGATTCCTGATCTTCTTCGCCTCTCCTCTCTCTGTCTCCCATGTTCCCTGTCGGCTGCTCTCCCTTCCCGCCCTGCCCCTCCCGCCCCCCTTCAGCTCATATACGAGAAACTCCCAAGGGACATTGCTCAGAGGCATGTGATGCTGCTCGACCCTGTGCTCGCATCAGGTGGGCCACTTAACAGTTTGACCTCGTTAGTCTCAAAGGAAGATAGGCCTCTGTCCCTCCCAACGGACATCACCCAGTTTGATCCGCCTCCTTCCAGGGGCATTTGATCGCCCAGCGGCATGCGATGCTGCTCGACCCTGTGCCAACATGTGAGCATATATGAATGCTGCTACACCCTGTGCGACCCACCTGAGAGATACCCTACAGTTTGGTTTGCAGCCCGTCTTTTGAGACGCCTCAAGAAGGTCTGCCTCTTGTCACGCTTCAAAGTCACGGGTGTATTGGTGTCTGGCTTGCTCTCTGCTTCCCCCTATTCTCTCCCCTCCAGGCCGATCTGCCATAAAGGCCATCGAGCTGCTGCTGCACCGAGGGGTGCCTGAGGAGAGAATCATATTCCTCAACCTCATCTCGGTGAGTTCATGATTAGGAGGGTTGCAGAGCGATAATCAGTGGTGAAGAGTGTGACCACGTGGGAACTTTCTCACCTCAGCTGCTGATACAAGCCTGAGGAGCGAGTTTGTCTTCCTCATCCTCATTTCGATGAGTTCAGGAGGAATGCAGAGTGGTAATCAGTGGTGAAGGGAGCAGCCGGGTTGAGGTGGAACAACACCCTTTCTGAGGTGCAGAGCGGTGATTAGTGGTGCTGCTGGCCCACCCACCCTTCCTTGCACCCGCCCCCCCTCCCCCAGGCACCAGAGGGCATTCACAACGTGTGTCGGCGCTTCCCCCACGTCAACTCAAGGTTGTTTTGTCGGTTCTCTCTTTATTCCCTACCTGCATCCACGCATCTTCCCTCCCCCCCCCAGGCCCCAGAGGGCATACACAATGTGTGTCGGCGTTTCCCCCACCTCAAGATCGTGACATCGGAGATTGACGCAGGGATTAACGAGGAGTACAGAGTGGTTCCAGGAATGGGGGAGTTTGGGGACCGGTACTTTGGCACAGAGGAGGGGGATGCAGGGAGGGATGATGATGGTGATGGTGATGCTTTTGAGGCGTCGTGATGGGTTGGGAGGGGTGGGTGGATGTTGCTGGGATCAAGGAGAGGTTGAGAGCGGTGCCTGCCGGGGATGGGGGAGTTTGGCGACAGGTAGTTTGGCACAGAGAAGGGGTATGATGGGAGGGATGATGATGGTGATGGTGATGGTGATGGTGATGGTGATGGTGATGATGATGGTGATGATGATGGTGATGGTGATGGTGATGGTGATGGGGATGGCTGGCAGACAATGCTTTTGAGCAAGGTGAGGAGAGGAGCACGAAAAGGAGGAAGGAGAGGTGATAGGTAGCCTTCCCTGCTGCCATTGCTGCTGTGCCTGCTAGCGCTGCCAGCACCGGTGTTTCCGGTGGTTTCAGTTTAAACCGTTGGGTCAGCATAAACATGATTTGTTGCACATAAAAAATGAATCTGTTGTGGCCCTATCAGGTGTTGGTTTGTGCTGGTAGTTGAGAATGTGCCTTTTCATAATAGCCCAGTGGTTGCACCATGTGTTGAAAATTGTGTCACGCACATATATGCATCAGACTGAACAAAGAAGAAATAAGCAAACAGCCAAACAAACCAAACCAAAACAAAACAAAACAAAACAGCACTGTAGAGCATATTTGCAGTCAAAAAATAAAGAAGGTACAATGACCTGCAGAACACTGAAGTGGTTGCATTTTACCCGTCAATCAGGTAGTTCTTTGACGGGTACAGACCCACAGTCGACCAACAAACACGTGGGGTATCAACAGGGATTCCCTCCCAGCCAACTCATGGCAAGGGAAAATCGATGACCAAACACAAGACATGCTTTCGCACTGTAGCGACATTGCGACTGTCGTGATGCAAAATTCGTATTGCGCGAGATACCTCGCGAAACTCGTTGACGTTCGCTCGTCCGTCGTCTGCTGACAGTTGTTGCCAGGTTGTCTTGTCCACATGACCAGTCAAAAACTGTCGGCGCGTTCTGATGTCCATTCCGTCAATCTTCTCCTGCCCTGCATCCGTACGCCTTGAACCCCAAAAATGAAAATTCCTGGGTCGTTGTACCAGTAACAGAAAGCTTATAGTACGGTAAGAGTCGGTTCAAAAGAGTGATACATTTAAACTTGCCCGTTTCGGGCAGGACGGAATGTATAAATGATGTTTTTGTTGTGCTGAAAAACGGCGACTTCTTCGGGTAACAAAGGCTTCCAAATGTTTTCTGGGCTTGGCTGGTCTCCGCGGACCGCGACCTACACTGTTCAATGCCCTGACCAGTCTCCCCCTCATGCATCCGCCGCAAACCTTTGTGCAGCGCGACCTATGTGCGCCAAGCTAACTGAGAATGCTCTCGGGTCTCTTGCACAAATACCGCTCCCACATTCCCCCATTCACCAGCAGAACTCGTTTCAGCAACCTTCCATACACACTCCATTCGTAGCTTCCTTCTGAAGTCGACATTCTTTGCGTAACTTGATTCGGTCGTAAGCCACGATGACGCGCACCGGTCTTATTCCGCTCCTCGTCCTGCTCCTCGTCGCGCCTGGTATGCTCCAGAAAAACTCGCATACTCAACTGGTCCGCGTATACGCCTACTACTGCACCAACCTTGTTCGAATTGATTAGTTGGCCTGCGCTCCTGTTCCTCGAATGTAAAACGTGTTACTTCGGGTGTGAATGAGTCATTACGGATTTCAATGCGTGAACTTACAACATCCGATTTCGTTTTTGTTTCTTGCGCTGCGTGCGCAGTTCTCGGTCACGGGGGTGGCGGCGGTGGTTTCGGCGGAGGAGGCCGCGGCGGAAGGGGCCCGCATGGCCCGCCGATCGACGCGTCCGTCACGGGCAATCTCACTGGTGCGATTAACGCACCATCATCTAGCACGCATTCGTCTGCCAGATTCGTTGATCCCGTCACAATGCGATCCCGATTACCCCTTCTGTGAAATTTCCGTTCGCTATCACATGCCAAACGTGCGCTGGTCTCATTCCCCCACCTCCCCGAACCCCCCACTCCCCCCTCCCTCCCCTGCTTCCCCCACCTCCCCCCCTTCTTCCCCCTCACCCGCCCCTTCGTATCCTCCGCAGGTCGAGTGGGCGCGTGGGTCGCCAACTGCTCAGCGGACATCGGCGCGACTCGCGGAAAGTTCCTGCTCGCGGTCTTTAAGGACGAGTCGTCGGGCTCGCCCGTCTACAACCTCTATTTCGATGCAGATCTCGACGAGTACGACGGCACCGCGCCCGACACGATCTCCATCGTGCAAGGCGCCGCGTGCGACTCGACCGCCACCGCCGCCCTCAGTCTGCCGTCCACCGGCTGGGCCACCGAGACGCGCGGCGGGCGCGGCGGGTCGCACACGGAGCTGCGCGTGAAGGGCACCGTGGATGGTGCAGACGCGACGGTCGTTGAGGCGATTCTTGCGGGCGTGCCGAACGCGACGGTGACGCAGAATGTTTTCACCAAGGTGATCAACGGCGCGAAGCAGGGCGTCCAGAACGCGCTCGGCGGACGCCGCCGCGGGCGCGAGCTCGCGGTGAACAGCGCGGGGAAGCTGACGCAGCAGTTCCTGAAGCGCCAGCGCGCGCGCCTCGCGTGGATGGGCGCGAAGACCAAGGCGCTGTTCGCGACGTTCATCGGGACTACCGACACCACGAATGATTCGCCCTACGCTGTCATTTTCACTGACAGCACGACCGGCAACTCCTGGAGTGCCGCGCTCACGGGGAACTTCGGCAAGTGTGGCGGTGGCGGCGGGCGTGGTGGTAACGGGCCTGACGGTGACGGTGATGGCCCTGGTGGCGCTGGTGGCGCTGGTGGGCGTGGGGGCCGTGGTGGCTTTGGTGGTGGCTACTAGAGAGATGCTATGAACTCGACTGAAATGTGGAGGCGGATTCGATTCAAGCGTGGATCACGGAGAGGAGTGAAGGATAGCATTTGCGGAAACGCGGCATTTGGGGGGAACAGTTGGGATGGGGTGTGTAGGGGAGGGGGAAGGCAGAAAAGTGGAGGTGGGGGGAGGGGGGGGGGGATGTGGGGTTTTGTTCGTGTGGGGTCTTTGGTCGACTTTTTGAGAGACTCGGTGATGGACGCTTCGTTATTGTTCTCTAGAGTCGACCCAAGACAACCACTTTCGTGTGTTTTTTTTTACTGAGTGAAGATATATAAATTTGGTCTCAAAAAATGTTCCTCTCCAGATGGTTGAAACATGTTTCAGACTACGAAAGTCATCCCAAAAATGGGAAATCGCGGTTCTATAAAGTAGATGCTAATTCTGAGAGATTCCACCAAATGAATCACAAGTGCACTTTTCCATCAACGTGCACTGCAAACTCCACTTCGACCCATGCAAATAATAATTGTTATGTTATTGTTACAATGCATGTCTTGGACAAAGATTCGCCCTCTTACTGCTGCTTGGCTTTACTGAACCGCACCAAGAGCAGAAACGTAACAAACCGCACGAACACTCCAAAACCCATAAGCACCGCAACATTCTCCCACATGTCGAGCTGATTCACTGCCAGTGTAGTCGTCACCAGTTGAGGTCCGTCCCGCAAACACGTGCTTGTAGTGATTTTGCTATAAGGGGTACCAGCCAGCACCTGCCGCATCCCCATCATGGCCTTGTTGATTCTGGTTGCGTTTAGATACGGCGCCACGGGTGTATTATCAAACATAGTGCCAGCTTCCAAGTAACAGGGACCTCCAGGCCTGGTGGGGTGATTCAGGGGAGAGATGGAGATTGGGGGTTGGGGTTGATGAGTGGGGGACAGTGGGGAAAGATGGTGAGGGGTGGGAGACGGTGGGGAAAGATAGTGAAAAGTGGGAGATGGCAAACTGATGCCATGTACATCATCAAATGCTGATTCCTCACCTGCCAAACGCGTTAATTGCCAGGGCCAACCGTCTGGGATGACATTCCACCCTATACCACACTCACTGTCACTCTTAGTAGGTGCAACTCTGTTCCTCACCTGCCAAACTCGTTGATTGCGAGCGCCTCGTATGCATACTTCATGGGCGAGAGGTAGTGCAGCCAGACCCAGCCGTCTGGGATGCTCTCCCTGTCGATGTAGAACCCGCTGAGGAGAGCAAAGTATGCCATGAGAGCAATGGCCACTGCATAGGCCAGCACTACACTGGAGGGCGGGAGAAAGGAGGGGGGAATGGCGCAGGGAGAGGAGAGGAAGATGAGGAGGTGCGCAGAGAGGAGAGGAGGAGAGGAGGTTAGAGAGGGCAGAGGAAATGTGAAGATCCTCTGTTTAACCCCGCACTCACTGGTTGATGCAGATGCTGACACACGTGGCGATGGCATTCCCAGTGAACAGCATGGCGAAGCACGCGAGCACCATGAAGCAGAAGCCTTCAGCTCCCCCCTGCAGCCCCAGGCACCACCAGGCTTCGAGAACAAGCGTGAGCGCCATGAGCAGGTGGAGGGGAAGGTAGACGAATGTGGAGGAGAGGAGGTAGGTGGACGGGCGGTAGGCGCTGCTGCTGGTCTCCCGCAGAAAGATGTTCCGCTCCTGAGAGGCAGGAGGGGGAGGAGATGGCATAGTATAGCATGAGATGGAATGGCATGAGATGGCATGGCATGAGACGGCATAGTATAGGATGGCATGGCATGAGACGGCAGAGTATAAGGATGGCATGGCAAAAGTTGGCATAGTATAGGATGGCATGGCATGGGAAGGCTAGAAGGGCCATGATACGGAACGACACACACACCTGGATGAAGATGGGAACGGCATCACAGGAGACGAAGAAGAGCACGCAGATGGCAAAGGAGAAAAAGGCGAGCCGCTCCTGGAAGCCCTTCATGCTGCGCGAACAGTGGTGGGATTGGTTAGGGTGGAATGGAGAGGAGTGGGTTGGGGTAGTTTGGGGTTGGGTGGACTATGGCGGTGGGAATGGTTGCAGGGGCGAGGAGTGGAGTGGGAGGTAGAGACGAAGGAGAGCACGCAGATGACGAAGGAGAGAGCGAGATACTCATGTATGTTGTTCATGCATCAGAGAAAATAAAAATCAGGCAAAACAATATCACCATACTTGCTTGTTTTCTCCTACCTCCTTTTCCTCACCTTCCTTCCCCCCACCCCACCCCCACCACCCCCCCCCACCCCACTCCCCTTCCTGCTGTCAGATCAGTCTGTCTTTCCATTCCCCCTTGACAATCCTGCCCCCCCCCAAGGCTCTCGTTTTGCACTCCCTTCTGCTAGTTTTTAGTACAGGTGCTTTCAACGTGGTTGGTAACAGTTTCACTGTACCTGTCATCTGGTTGGAAGAAGATCGTCGCCAACATTATCCCCGTTATAGCAATCAGCCCCAGCCGCAGCAGGTACAGCGCGGGCGTGCGAAAGGTGATCAGGGCGTTCCGTCTCGTCAGCACCGCCAGCTCGGCGAACCATCCGTTACCATACATTCGCGTTTCGTCAACCTCGCTTTCCCGTCGCCGCGTCTTCCCCTTTGCCCCTATTCTCCCCAACCACGTAGCCTTTCCGCTTTCGCCATCCCGAATCGCAACGCCCGTCTCCACATCCTTGTTATTGCCCTTCTCTTTTAACGCGCTCGGAAGTTGGAAATATCTGGAGTTCCAAAAACTCGTTTTTGCAGCCGCCCCTCCTCCCGTTCTGGCATTTTCTGGCGATGCTGCTTCTGTGTTCAAACCCTGCACTTGTAAAACACCCTCTGATTGAGGATTACACCGCAGCGCAGCCTCTTCTCCCAGCTTCCCTAGCTTCCTTTCCCGCTCCTCCTCTTCCTCTTGCTGCCTCTCATATTCCCGCGCAAAATCCACCAAATCCGCGACCCCGCGGCTCGACCGCTGCATATCCTCGATAAGGTCCAGCGCGAACTCGGTGCTGTTAGCGAACTGCGGCACGGGGAACCCGACCGACGCGAGGAAGCGCGGCAGCGCGGGAGGCGCGCCGTGAAAGACGGCGTGGCCCGACGCGAGGAGGATCAGACGGTCCACGAGGCCGAGAACGCGGAAGCTGGGCTGGGAAGGGGAGAACAAGGGGGGTTTGGTTGGCGGAAAGGAAAATTGAGGAGAATGGGGGATAGGGAGGGGGATTTGGGGAAGGGAAGGGGAGGGTGTCGGGATAAGGGTGGTGGTCGTCCCGAGCTCGTGACTTTTGAGTCACGTCGTCACGAGCACGTGGAAGAGGAAACGCGGTCGTACCTGGTGCAGCACCATGAGGAAGGTCGTACCTGGTGCAGCACCATGAGGAAGGTCGTACCTGGTGCAGCACCATGAGGAAGGTCGTACCTGGTGCAGCACCATGAGGAAGGTCGTACCTGGTGCAGCACCATGACGGCGATGCTGTTCGTGTTGGTCGCGATGTCTTTAATCGCCCGCACCACGCGGAACGCGCTCGTCGAATCGAGTCCCGACGTGGGCTCGTCGAGGAAGAGAATCTTCGGGTCGCAGATAATCTCTGTTCCGATCGCGACGCGCTTCCGCTCGCCACCAGAGACGCCCCTGCAACTCGGTTGCAATTACAAAAAGAAGCGAGAAATGCTCCGCTATTAGACTGAAACTAAGGGTCACATTCGATTCCTGCTGACGGTGATGGGCAGTTCCCAAAATGCCCCCTTTCTTCCTTACCTCTGCCCCTCGTCCCCGATTTTCGTCTCCGCCACTTCCGTCAATCCCAGCAATTCGAGCAGCCGCGCTACCTTCGCCACCTTCTCCTCCCGCCTCACGCTCTGCGGCAGGCGAAGCTCCGCAGCGAACATCAGCGTTTCGCGCACCTGGTTACCAAACACCGCGAAAAAAGGTGACGAAGAATTAGCCCGCGAAAAAAGCCCCCACGAACTGAATGTTACTAAATGACCACTACATGTCGCACGTACCGTGAGCGACGGGAACATGAGGTCGTCCTGCATGACATACGCCGAAACTCGTCGCATCGTTCCGCTTCGCACGGGTAACCCGTCAAGCTCCACTTCGCCCGCTCGCCGACCCGACGCTATACGGCACGCCAAAATGTTCAACAGCGTCGTTTTCCCCGCTCCACTCGCTCCCATAATCGCTGTGATCTGCCCCGATTTTGCGCTGCCGCTGATGTCGACGAGAATCCTACGGTTGGATTTACTACTCACGCCAATTCGCCTGGAAATTGACCGCTCCAAAGAGCGCAATTTTCTGCCAGAACCTGAAAACCTATCTGTGTCGTGGGCTGTCCCACCTATATCCGCCCCTGAATGGCTGACTACTGGTTTGAGATTGTCGGTACTACTGGCACTACCACTACGGCCAGCGTCGACGTGTATGTGAATTTCATCGCTCAACGCGCTTTCGTCGCTAGGCAACGGCGCGATTTTTGAGGTGTTGATCTTACAGCATGCGCTTTTCCGAGATCTCGATGCGACAGAGTGCGAAAGGTTACGAAATCGCAGAACAGATGTAACGCCAGAAGGCGCAAACGAACCTTCGCCTGTGTCGCCCACGCCTCCACCTCTTCCGCTCCCAGGATCGCAATCGCGACCAGCCGCCGCGTGATCGCACGCCGATGACGATGACGACGATGTCGCAGAGTCGTCTGGCGACTCATCCGACTCAGGATCGCGGGGAAACTGCAGCGGCCGTGTTGTCGATTGCCCGCGCCCCCCGAGCACGGGATACGACGCGCTGCCGATCTGATATCTACCAGCTGAAGCATCTGTCACAAGCGCGCAGCGAAACGGCTCTCTAGCGGCCGGGCTATCTGTCGCTGCTACGTGCCCCATCCCGATGTTAACCTGCCCGTAACCTCGTGCGAGGCCGTCATGGGCGGTGTCCGTTGTCGCGAGGTCCATGGCCAGCCCAGCATCGGGCGGCGGACTTCCGGATGGAAATCGGTCTTGAGACCATGACCTCTCGCCGGCCACGGTAGCCATTACTATGAACGGATACTGTTTCAAGTAATAATCTGGTTCCGATCTAGTGAATACCTTCGAGGCGCCTCAAACGTTACAATCCACACCTTGACTGCAACCTGAGTTTGGAGGTTACGGTCAGCTAGCTCAAGGGCACTCGATTAGGATATCACTAATAGCGCCTCATATTGAAAATGATTTCTGTCAGAGGAAGCACTACCGCTGTCATGGTGGAAGCTAACTTCTGGCACGACTACGATGACTTCGCGACACGACCTTGCCCGTGTCTAGCGGTTGTTGGTCGGTTGCGGGGTATACTGAAGAGAATGCAAGTTCACAATGGAAAGAAGCCGTAGCGACAGGCAGGCCCAGCGTGGACCTACCACGAACAAGGTCCAGACTTAGGAGCATGACGTGTGTTGTCGTTGGGTGATAAGGTATGTCTCTGTCAAAACAAGCTGGGGCTTGCGAACATGGTTCCACTTTGCCTGAGGGGGGACACGGAACTGGATGCTGTGGCTAATTTGAGTTCGAAAAATGTTGGAGAGGTTGGCAATTTTGATATTCCAAGGAATCCGCGGCTCGAATTTTGCTTGTTGCGGTACGGGCTGTGAAAACACCTGACATGAGTAATGAGAGCGGCACGATTAAGAGATCCGACGGCTGAAGAAAGAGGAGAAAATTATGGAAGTGCTCGTTAGGGGGGGAATTTCATTCGCGAGTGCGAGAGGCGAACCGCATCCATCTAATTTGCCCACGTGGACATGCTGGTGCTTCCCTTTTGTTGCGCTTCTCGGGAAGATTCTGACTCACCTCAGCACAAGCCCACGTCGTGGTTGAATACACAAGGAAGAATCACGGTTTTGAGAATCTCGCTGTTGAAATGAATTGATTTGTAGGTACATCCTTACGAGTGCAATGGCGAGATAACAAGAGAATCATTGACTGATTTGAACTGCTTGATGGGTGTTTTTGCGGAATTTCAAAAATGCCCTGCAATGAATAATCGGCCTCTCAATTGGGCGCACACTGTTATGCCTTTCCTGGTACTCGGTGATGGCTGAATATTTATTTTCAAGGTTCTGAAGGAGAACACGTTTAGAGGCATAAATTGGGTGTGGATGATTTATCGGGGTAGCCTCGATGTACCCTTCACAACTTAGTATCAGAATACAAGCTAAGCAACTATCGTCAGTGTAGACATTCTCCTATACACTCCTCCAGGTCTCAAAATCTCCTCTCTGACAGGCAACAGCCAGCACCCTTGCACAGTCAGAGTCTGCAGCATTTTCAGCTCAGTCAAATCTTCAGGAAGCGCCTGCAGCTGCTCACATGACTGCAAAGTAAGAGTCTTGAGCCCGACTAACCGTGCAAAATTGGGAGGGAGCAAACGAACGGCCGAGGCTTTAATCACCAGGCTGTGGAGGCATGCAAGCGCCGTGAGGAAAACTGGCAGATACTCCAAGGCAGGGCAATCAAACAAGATCAGACTGCGCAGCCGAGACAGCGCAACGATATCGGCCGGCAGAGCAACTAGACTTTCTGCAACAAAAATCTCCAGCTGTGACAGATTCTGAAGCTCAGTGACAGAATCTGGCAGCGCCTTCAGTTTTGGAAGGCGGTGGATCTGCAAGCAGCGTAACTGCTTCAAGGCCGACCCGATGGTTTCAGGCAGCCTCTCGATCCTCCCAGCCTTTGAGATCTCGAGTGTGCGAAGCTGAGGGCAAGCGGACAGCGGGAATGAGAGCTCCTCTGCTTCTGCTGCGAGAACCAATTCCAAGTGCTTCAGATGCGGCATGCTGCTGCTGATTCTCACCGCGTCCCCCGCACCCGCCAGGTTCAAACCCAACTTGGTCAGCTTCGGCAGTTTTGAGACGTCAGGCAGAGGGATGACGTGCCCGCAGTTCCCAAGGCTAATGACTTCAAGGGAGGGGGGAAGACTTTCAGATGGCACTTGCAGCTGATCACACTCCTCCATCTCCAACCACTTGAGCTTCCCCAGGCTTAACAGGCTTCTCGGCACCGAAAAGAGGCTTATGACCTGAAGGAAGGATGGAAGGCTTTCAGATGGTGCTGGCAGCTGCCCGATCTCCAACCGCTTCAGCTTTCCCAGGCTAAACAGGCTACATGGCACCGAGCAGAGCTTCTTACAATCATCCACTGTGAGGGACTCGAGATTGCAGAGGCGTGTGATGGACTCGGGAAGCTTCCTGATGTTGGGGCAGAAGCAGAGATGCAGCTCCGTCAGGTTACGCAGCTCGTGCATGCTCTCTGGAAGATCGTGAAAGTAGCAACCATGAAGCTTCAATCTCCTCAGGGAAACCAGCCGGGTGAATGTTGGCGGCAGCTGCTTTTCAAAGTTGCTCTTTATGAAAAGAGTTTGCAGACTGGTGAGATTCCCAAGATCCGCTGGAAGAGTCAAGAATGACATTTGCATGAGGCACAGCGTCTTGAGAGCAGGCAGGCTGCATAAACCCTCCGGAAAGCGGGAGATTTTGTCACAACTGATAAGGAAGAGAGTTTCTAGAGATGAGGCTTGGCAGAGGGAGTCAGTGAGGTTTTTGAGAGGCAGTTCACGCAGCACCAGGGTGTTCAGCCGGGGAAGACACCCAATATCTTCGGGCAGGCTGAAAAGTAGACTGCAATTCTCCAATGTCAAGCTCTCCAGATGCCTGAGCGAGCTGAAGCCGTCAGGCGGCAGGTGGGAGAGGGATTCGCACTTGCGGATGGTAAGTTTGCGGAGGCACGGAAGCGAGTCCCCTATGCCGTCTGGAAGGGACTGTAGGGAATTGTTATCAGAAATGAGTAACTCTTGGAGGTGTGTGCAAGGCGAGGCGGGAGGAAACAGGAGGTCGATTCGCGAGCAAGAGGCGTTGACTGTAAGGGACTGCAGGCACAGCAGCTGCTGCGAGATGGAAAAGGCTGAAGGTGGTCGACTGTTTTGGAATTCGCAGGATGTAGAGGTGATGGAAAGGCATGTGAGTTTTGAAAGGTGAACGAGGTTAGAAAGATGATGATCGGTGAGTGGAACCAGGGAATGGATGTGGAGAGATGTGAGAGAAGAAAGCTTGGCGAGATTGTGAGATTCGAGTGCTGAAGTGTCTTCTAGCAGGAGGGTGTGCAGGTGGGTTAAATGAAAGAAGTGGGTAGCTGAGCACGCTTGTGGAGACAGAGAAGCGACAGATGCTCAAGGCGAGTGCACTGCGAAAAGAAATGATCCAAGCCTGCTTCGGTGATCGGATACTCGTCTTTCGCCCCGCCATTGTTCGATGGCGTGATTCCGCTTCCCACGTGCAGAGCCGTCAGCTTGGGACACGCAGAGGAGAGGTGAGCGAGGAAGGCGTCGTCTAGGGTTTCCACGCTGCCGTCGCACAGATGAATGGCCGTCAAGTTGGGGAAACTAGCGATAACATTAGAGAGATCTCGACGGGAAACGGCCCGATCTTCCCTGACAAGTAGCGTGGAGGTGTGGTGCTTAGCGAGACGCCGCCAACGGCGGCAGACAGACGCGATGGCAAGTGCGCGAGCGACATCTATGCATGGTGGCGGTATTGGTAGAGCGGTTTTGATTCTAGGGTATGAAGATGAGTCATCTTCGAAGTAGTACTCGGAGAGGGACTTAGGCTTTTGTTCGAAGTGCTGCCATAAAGAGTCACTAGCAGATATGCGGAAAGCGTGCTCCTTCACGGAGTGCGTCAGAATAATAACGAGAACGTCGTCAGGCAAATGACTGATCCCCGCTGGCGTAACCACTTCCAAGCTATTGATCGCCGCTGTGTCCGTCATTGCGAGATAGGTGAAAGTACGAAGGTAAAGAACTGGCAGCTTCGGGAAGGACGAGTGGAGTGAAGTGGCGTGAGGGAAGGGTGCAGTGGGAGCTTCGGGTTAGCGATGTGAGCAAGGGGTTGCAAATCGGGTTACGTATTTCAGCACTTCGCTAACACCCTTCCCAGCGTTTCCGCCTCGCACACACCAGTATCTCGCCGAATCCCAAGCCTTGCCAAGGGAACTTGTGTCCAGCGCGAAATCCAGTCAGCTTAGCCCGGCTTGGGCTTCCTGAAGGTGATCCCACTAAAGCTAAGGGGACACTCATCTCCTGCTTCGTCAGATCTAGCCATGAAAGATCTCGAGAGTAGGAAAACACGTCAGCAACCGTACCCAGCTTCGACAAGGCCTATGGTTCTCCGCTAAGGTCGACAGCTCCTCCTGCGACGCAAGCACAGCGCGTAGGTGCCTACCCTCAAACCGCAGGTCAGCAAGCGAATGGTACTGCGTGTTTTTCGAATCACTAAAGTAGAGAATGAATGAGGATTTGAGATTGTGAGATCCGTGTATGAGCAGACTCTCTTCATCCCTTTCATTTTAGCTCTGGCGAAGGAGATCTAGTTTCATACCTTTCTTGGCAGTCCAGTTCATCCGCGAAAGTTTAGATGGATCTTGCACACATCAATCGTCTCTCAGATGACCTTCTTACGAGGATTATATGGTTTCAGAATGAAATGCCTTCTCAAGGTGGTACTACTCCGCCGTATTTGCTTCCGCGTTGGCATTTCAAGGCAGATAAATTTACTCCTCCAGCCTTGGCGGATGCAGCATTTAATCTGCTCATCGCATCCGTATGCAGCCGTTGGCGTCACCTCGTTAAGCGTCAAGTCACCGGCCTGTCAGTCCGTGAAAACCGCGTCATATCTTGTCAAGATCTGGCGAACGCCGTGGCTTGTTTCGACAACCTCACGAGTCTTCACCTGAGCGACGGCAGTGTCGAGACTATTGACAACGCCTTCCTCGCTCACCTTGCCTCCTCACGTCCCAAGCTGAAAGCTCTTCACGTGGGTCGCATGATCACACCGACGAAGTGTGGGGGAAGCAAGAATGGCCACCCAGTAACTGAAGCCGGCTTGGATCATTTTTTTCTTAAGTGCACTCACCTGGAGGAGATTTCGCTTCACTGCCTCCATGTGGATACTGACTTGCCGGATTCTTTCTTTCAACTGCAGCATCTTCACACGGTTCTTCTAACCGACGTTTCAGCCTTGGCACTTCCCAGATTTGCAGCGCTATCATCTCTCACTTCTCTACATATTGCTGTCTCAAAATTGACACGTCAGCAACTGTCGAGTCTCGCTCGCATCCCATTACTTTCTGTACTCTCGATCTCCAGTGAGATTTCCCTATCCAAGAATGATCCGCCATCTGCAACTTTCACTGCTGCGCAGCTGCCTATTCTCAAGACACTCGATTTCCAAGTCTCTAGTTCGAATTTTACTTCAATGCTCTCTACAGGATCACCGTACATCCTTCTAGAACAGCTGGTGATCTCCAATTCCACCAACCTCCAGCGGCTCCCAGATGACTTTGGAGAGTTGTTCCCGTGCCTCCGTGAACTAACCATTCAGGATTGTTATAAGCTTGAGCAACTCCCTGATAGCATCACTTCCCTGAGTGCATTGGAGTGCTTGTCTATTTTCAGCTGCAGCGAGCTTCGCAGCCTGTCCATCGACTTCGGAGAGCTTCCTGCCCTCAAGTCACTGAAGCTGCACAGCCTGTCTGGTTTAAACCTACCTGATTCCCTTTGCCAAGCCTCTTCTCTAGAGACGCTGTCCCTGCATGACTGTGGCAAGATGCAGCTGCCAGCAGAGTTCTGCAGTTTTACATCTCTCAAGACCCTGAGCCTCATGCACTATGGGAAGATGGTGCTTCCAGATTGGATTGGATGGCTCAGTAACCTCGAGACTCTTTACTGGGAAAACTGCAAGCAGGAGCAGCTCCCCCCTTCAGCGCAGCTGTTTTCTTTAACGAGTTTTAAGCTTGGCGGTTCCTCAGTTGTTGATGTTTCTGAGTGTCTGTACAGTCTGACTAACCTGCAGCATCTCTGCATTCGGAACTGCTCTTCTCTCATCGAGATTCCAGAATCTGTTTTACGGCTCAGAAGGCTCACAGCCTTGACCATTGATTGGTGTCATCAGCTCTCAGTGCTGCCGAGAAGGCTAAGCGGCCTTGGGGAGTTCAAGAGGTTGGAGGTAACATGGTGTAAACGACTGTGTGAGTTTCCTATGTCACTGCCACTCTCCCTTGAGGTCCTGTTTTGGAACAACAATGGTCAGACAGATTTCCAGCCCTGCATTTCCCACCTGTCTCGTCTACGGCACTTGGAGCTGAGGTTGGCAGACAACGTTCAAGTCATGAGTACCTGGCATGGTGTAAGGATTTGCACCCTTCCAGAATGCATCGGCTCCGCGTTGCTGCAGCTGCGGGACTTGCAAATATGCCACTTTGCGGAACTTAGGGAGCTGCCAGAAACGGTCTCACAGCTCCAACACCTGACATCGTTGAAGGTCCTTGCTCGCAAACTGGCCTCGATCCCCGAAGGCATCGGTGCATTATCCAGGCTGCGCAAGCTGGAGCTATCAGAATGTTGGGACCTGCAGAAGCTACCATCTTCGATGACGAAGCTTCGCTGCCTGCACCTGCTTCGAGTTGACTGTACTTCTATCAGCTCCCTTCCTCCCGGGTTTGCACAGCTGACCAGGCTGAGGACACTCAGCCTCTCTCGCTGTGAGAAATTGAAGGCATTGCCAGAGGAATTGACCGAACTGAAGATGCTGCAGGAGTTGGATCTCAAAGGGTGCAAGCAAGCGCTCGATAGCATGTCCCGTGCACTGCGTTATGGACTCCGGTCCATGCATGGGCTGACATTCGAGAGAAACTAGCCGGGCAGGAACTCCCTGTTGATGGTGATCAAGTCAAGGGTCAAGTTTCATGTTGGTTGGACATTGTATTGTACGCTCTTTAGAATCTAGAATGTGGAGAGTATAGTCGTGTAAATCATTTGTGTAATGGATGTTGAAAGTCAAGGTAGGTTCAAGTCAGTGATAGGTTTTAAAGAGCCCCATCTGATCCCAAGTTGGTGTAGTTGGGATAGGAGCTCTTGCTGGTCCCTTGGGAATGTTCTAGGATCCCCTATATAGCCTTAAACAACCAAAATTAAGGCAGGATGTGCACCACACTTCCGTACCAACTTGTCGTTGTAGCTTCAACATGAATGTTCACTGTGCTGTAATGACAAGAAACGTCCAGCATCAGTCAGCGTCTTTTCAACCCAAAATTCTCTCCTCGCTGAATCGTCCCTCTAGGTTTTTTTTTCTAAACTCAAAGTTCCACACCCTGCTGTACCCCTCCTAACCCCTCTCATCCACTCTGTTGCCTCTCTCATCCCCTTCGTTTCCAGTCACTCTCTTCAACAGCACCAATGCTGACGACGACCTA